TTTAGATCCACAGTTTCGAATTCTATAGAATTGATGTTCGGTTCGTGCGAAGGTGCACTAAATTAACAGAGTCGCAACCTCTGGGCGGGGCCCCCCAGGCCCGCAAGGCCCCCATCGTGTCACTCCTCCCGGGCGCGAGATTGACCCAGAAATGAACACAAACTTATTATTTGCGAACATCAATTGTAAGGGAAAATAAAATAAAATTTATAGTTTAAACTGGTAATTCATGGAAAAATAAGCTATGAGAAAAATATGTTGATCTTTGTAACAATACATAAAAAAATAATTTAATTTAAATGGACTAGAAATATATATATATATATATTATATATATTATATTATATATATATAGAATAAAATAAAATAATAATTATTAAATTCTGTTTGTTTATTATATTTTTATACCACTTGCCTAATATAAATGCTTTTGGAATTGTAATTTTGGATTACTGTTTATATCAGCATATCTTGTACATTTTATCATCTGGATATAATATGACAATAAACAATTCGTGACGTATTGTAGCAGTACATTTCGAAGAGCCCTACAGGACATACAATTCAAAACAAAAACATCAAAATAAAGTCCAGATATCATCAAACTATCTATTACCAAAATTATCAACCTTTTCCCAAAATCTTTGAGCCTTGGTAGATTTTATTAGCATCCTTATACGACGTAGAAAATTAGTGCACTCTTAGCAAGGGGGCGTCCATTAATCACGTGATCGATTTTTTGAGGACTTTTCGTACCCCTTGCTGATACGTGGTGATATTCAAAATTACCAACCCTCCCCCACCAAACATCACGTGTATTTTAAGTTGCAAGAAATTTTTTTTACAATTTCTGATTTAAAAAAAAATCTAGGTGAAAAATAAATACACGTAATATCTTACTATATCCCACCCCCCACGTGATAATTTGTGATTTTTTGTGAAACCCCTACTCCCCCTCATGTGATTAATGGAAGCCCCCCAAGGAGCTCTTTAAGAATTAATGTCTAAACTACAATCTTCAATATTTTCATTATAATATTTCTCAAAGTGTCTATTAATGCAAGAATTACTAAATATATCTATAAGAATAATCTTTTTTTTCAAATTTTAAGTTATTGTGGAATTTATCAGACTTGTAGCATGAGGCGAATAATTTGATACTAGTCTTCTTTTCAAAGAGTTCAACAAACCAAAATGTAGTTTGCACTACATTATTATTGTTCCTCATAATATCTATTATTCCTCATATTATCTATTATAATAACTATTATAATTAATAACTTTTTTGCCAAAGTTTGGAGTAAAAGTATGTTTTATCATGTCATGTCATACATATACAGTAATCTCATTTTTCTCTTCTACATGATGCACCATTTGTTCCACAACTTTATACATCGGGCAAATTATTCCTAGAAGTGTCTAATATAAGAACAAATACCCAAAACCGATAAGACTTCTTGAGAAAATTTGCAAATTGAAATATTTTCGCACTTCGTTTATTTACAAAATATTAATATCGCACCACCTGTCTTGTAAACATGTAAATATTATATTATAAATTATATTTTGAATTGGACGACTCGGGAAAAACATTTATGATTTATAAATATACATATATATATAAATATATATATATATATATATATATATACTCGTATATATATATATATATTTCTATATCTATTGGCTCAATATCAAAAAGATTGAATGACAACAAGTATTATAAAGATCTTCGAAAATTGGCCGAACGTCCGCACGAGCCGTCTAAAATTAACATCTATTTTGCTTGATTTTATTCTTAAACAAATGCGAAATGTCGACCGAAATAAAACGACATTTTTATATAAATTTGATGACATTATATCTCCGAACGAAAATAAATTTATACATAAAATTTCGTGCACGATTTAGAAACGCAGATTTGGTAATGAATACATGAAAGATATTTTTTTACAATTTTAATTACAATCTGTCTTACTTAGGATTTTCTGTAATTGTTTTGAATTTATGATATAGATTTTTTGAATGGATGGCAACCCAGTAGTTGTCCAACCCAATTATGACTAATTAACTATAATCGAAGTATTTGCTAACATTTATATTATATATGCAACTATACCCACGAGAGGCGATTTTCTCTTGAGGCTATATTTGAGATCTATAACGTAAAGTGGAAATTTGACATCAAAGTTGCCTGATGTCAGGCTTTGGCGGTAACGGGAATCGAACCAGCGAACCCAGGACTAGTTGGTGCTTCGAACCGATATCGCCACTGATGGCCCAATACATGAAATATTTGTAGCACAAAATGTTATTAAAAAAACACCAAATTTAGTATTTATCCTTTTACTAGACATTTTAAAGTAAATTAGTACATTCAAAGAGTTTACAACGTGTACCATTTACAATATAATCCTGTTATTTCAATATAATTTACGTCATTACATCTATTATAATCAAAAATATATAAAGTCTAATAAAATTTTAAGTTACAAAAAATAATACCAAACTCGGCAAAATTGGCCAAAAAATATTACCAAACTCGGCAAATTTATTGATAAAAACAAAGATTTTATTAATATTTTTATCAATTTTATATTAGTAATTTATTCATGAAATCGGAAGGTGCTATAAATTAGTGATACACAGGAATTAGTGCCTTTACAGGACGTACTGTTTGTTTTACCATTTTTGTAATTATGATAAGTAATATATCAAAGTGTCTATTTTAAGACATACTAGTCTTGAGCCATATAATCAAAATTGGTAAGGTACATAATTTCGGTTTAAAACAATTTGAACTTCCAGTAGAAACAAAGTTACTGCATCTTAAGGTAAGTGATCTTTAACACTTCTTCAAAATGCTGCTAAATTGCGCAAAACATCATTTTCAATAAATAACGTCGATATATATATATATATATATATATATATATATCCCTGTGTGTATTAGGCGTACAAGGGATTTTGTATGAGGAAAAAAGTTGATATTTATATTCCAGAACCGTATAAACCGAAACCGACGGTCCGATGGCTTCGAATCACTCGTAATGGAAAATGTCAATCATTTTGTAAAATAGCGAGGTTTACGCATATATATATATATATATATATATATATATATATACAATGTGCACTATATATAGTACGTAGCATACTGTATTCACCCAAATAAAATTCAATGCAAAATAAATTTGCCCGTTGAGTACATTTTTCATTCTATATTATTGTTCATGAGAATACTGACAATGGGTAGTTGTGGGGTATTTTGATATCAGGATTCAATGTAGATTATTTCATTTTGTATATATTTTCTAAATATTTAATAGAATATTAAACTAGTGGGGATCGATACTGCACGATATCAGGCTGTCCAGAGTGCGGGTTTGTACTCGCGACTTTGGCACACAAAGTCAGCGCGTTCAAAGCCATAAGACTGGTCTCTCAAAAGACATGCAAAACACAAAATTTTTGACCTTAGAAAATTTCGAGAATCTTTTTTCAACTTTTTATATTCCACCAGTATAAATGAGCAAAGTTTATGTTTTCACTTTCAAAAGCTATCAGTAGTTAATAATTTTTTTGTAAGGCTCTGAGATTTATTTCTTTAATTCCTTCTGATATGCCTGATTAGTTTATTTTAGCACATGCTAGGTCAACACTGTATAATTTTTTAGTATTAAATGTTATTTATTATTAACTTCCCGTAGGGTAAGTTATTGTAATGGGCCGAAAATCGGAATTGAAATTTTTTACATTTCTCGACGTTTTGAAGGTTTCTGAACGTTTTGGCATACCTCAGAAAAAATGGATGTGTGTGTGTGTGTGTGTGTGTGTGTGTGTGTGTGTGTATGTATGTATGGATACAAATTTTCGTCCACGTTTTCGGGCGTACGGATCAACCGATTTGAATGGTTTAAAAAACATTCGATTCCTATTAATAAGGAGAAGAGCTGATTAGTTTTTGGCAAAGACAGGTCCAGCAGTTACGGAGATAAGGAGCAAAGAGTGCAGAAAATAGAAATCGAGTTTTTGAGAGAACGGAGCATCCGATTTGAATGATCTAAAAAACATTCCATTAGTAATGATTGGGAGAAAAGGTTATTAGTTTTTCGCAAAGGCAGGCCCAGCCATTTCGGAGATACAGAGCTAAATGTACAAAAAATGGCAGTTTTTGAGAGAACTAAGCGTCCGATTCAATTGATTCAAAGAACTTTCTGCTTGTCTTAAAAAAATAATTAATTTTGGAAAAAAAAAATTTTGTACCATTTTTTTTTTTTTTTTTTTTTTTTTTTTTTTTTTTTAATTTTTTGTATATCGAAAATAATTCAGATTTTATTTTTAATTCTGACTATAGTTCTAATATACTTTAAACAAATAATTTCAACTCTGCAATTCAGTTTATATAATTATTATAAATATTAGACAATAATACAATATTTATAATAATCTATTTGAAAACATTCAATATTCCTCGAACGTTTCGTTACGGTACGGGAAGTTCCAGCAATTTGCCTTAAGGCACGATGCCACCCACCCCACTAGTTTTGTTTTTAAATAAGTTGTAAGGAAACGGATGTGTAACTATTTTTTGATCAGCCATAATTTTGTTAATTTTCCTTAGAGACAAGTAAATAAAGATGGTAAATTGAATATTTATCTGCGTGGAAATACAGAAAAACTTCCCTCAAATGCGATGAATTAGTCACAAAATCAAATAATACAAAAAAAGGTGAGTGCACAACCATCCACACTCGTAGAAAAATAACAAACAAATGTTATCTATATGTATATAACATGAGGAGTGAATTCTTTAAATTTTCATATAAATTTAATAATTCAAATAATTAAAAAAGTATGAATGCATAAAAATTTTTTTTTAATATATCCGTAAAAAGGAAACATTCCATATGCCTAAAATATAGAAAATATTTATCAGTAAAAAATAATTATTTTCATAAAAAAAGCTTATGAATCATGAAAATAAAATAATAGTTAACCAGAAAAATGTATACACTACATATATGTAACTGCAGCAAACGCCAATTTGCAGTACATTTCCAATAAGAGAATATATGATCCATTTGATCGCTTATATCCAATTCTATATTTACTCTTGTTCACGCCAAAATATTATTATAACACAAATTAGTATAATGATTTATTACTGATTAAGTCAATTATTTACACATGTCCAGTAGTTCACACAACTTTCCTAAATGCAAAGTACCATTACACATAGTTATATCACAAATCTAATCCCGGTAATAATACAGTATTTAAATCAATAATAAATTATGTTTAAAACTTTAGATTGAATAAAACATAATGTTTTATTTTTATGCTATCTAATTTTTATAGTATTTAATATTTTCTTTCAAATATCAATGACGCAGTCCCACGTGACAAAAATATGGATGGAAGGATCACCTGTGTTATGATCTAATCACCGAGCTGTTAACCTATACGACGTATGAATTATTTTTATGAAAAAAATTAACAATTTGAAATCACGTGTTTAATTAGGGGATATTCTCATTGTCAGGGTAAATGAAACCGATTTAGTAATTATCTCTGGTCTTTTTAACATATATTATTGACCCTTACGGAACGTGAATTTCGTTTGGGTTTTGATTTGCATCGGGAGATTTAGCATCATTTTACTTTAATCACACACACATATAAATATATATATATATATATATATATATACTGGTCAACTGCACAGGTGTTTACTCGACAACACACGACTTCCTACTGATTAAGAGGTGTTACAAATTTTTCCTGTTGCGCCCTCAACATTTCAAATCCACAAACTAATCCGATAACAGTATTGGAATTTTAACACCATCTGGTAACAATTCATAAATTTATCATCCTTTTGACCCAATATAAATAGCTCGAAGCCCAATACCACATCATTGTGTATTTGGAGATCGAGGTGACCTTTCCAATGGTAAGTCTATTAAAATTAATCCTTATTATGTAATAACTTCATATATAGTGTTTTGATTGATTCGATTTGACTTGATTTTCTATTGACTTAAAATCAAAATAAATTGGTGACACATCTTTGTATTAAACGCTTTATATAATTTATATTTTAATGTTTTTTGCTTGAGTGTTTTTTGTTTTATTTATATCGGACAATGTTTTGCACAGGAGCGGACAACTTCAGGGATTTATTGTGCACTAAATTGTTTTATATTGTATTGTTTATTAGTTTTTATTTGATAATTTGAATTTTTATTCACTTAGTTTTATTTTTCGTTATTTGCATCCCCGTTTTTTTTCACTTTTTTTATTCGTACGAGGACTTTGATAGATAATTTTGATCTCGTTTAAAACGAGTTTTAAAGCCGCGTTTCGCGATTTTTTAATATGTTCCTATCGCCTACCCCCCACGATAGGTTCAAATAGTTCGCGTTTAAATATTAAATTAATTTAATATATTAATCTATTAATTTTTTGTGGGTGTATGGTTGCTTGCAAAGTTTTTCCCACAAATGGCGCATCTCCATGCACTGTAGTCTGTAAATAATACATGTACTTTCATCTAAATAATTTACTACATTTGTTTACTATATATATTGATGATTACATAAATACTTTAAAATATTTCATTTAATTTGATTCTTTTTATTATATTTGATACGCGTTCATGGATGTAAGTAACCCGTTTAAATTTGTTTGTTAAATTACTTATTTTTATAACCAATTTTGGTGATAATTTAAATTTGTTGGTCGTTGCACAATGGGTCTCTCCGGACGGCGATTTGCTGGAGATGTACTGTTTTAAGTTAAATAAAAGGTACGATGATATAAAACCCTAATTTAAATGAAAAATTCATGAAACACTTTTATTTCAGTGTGAATCGACTGCCACTAGTTACCAGAGGAGTAAATACCAAAAACCTACAACTACAACCCATAGAAAAAAATCTGCACCAACCATATTTGATGTACCAGGACTGCCAAATGGCCACCAGAAGAGAACGTGCATATGTAAAGGTTTTCTCGTACTTATATTATTAGTATTAAGTAATTAGATATCAGTTAGTTATTACTTATTCTGATAATAATATTACCGGGGCCCCGTTTGTATGTTTATCCATATTATTACCACGGATGTTCGTGTTTTTTTTCACCTTTGTTATAGCAAGTGTTTTTCAAGAATATTGCAAGAAAATTGTGAACTCAAGACCAACCAGAATCACCAAAAGTTGTGTACTCAAGACCAACCAGGAGAAAAATTATACAACCAGGATCATAAGAAGTTATATACTCAAGACAAACCAGAAAAACAATTGGACGACATGTATAAAATGCAGATGAAATGTGAGAAAAAGACTTTAATTATATTATATTAGTGTTGTTGTATTGTAAGTTATATTATATTATTTTTATTGTACTGTATTAATCTTCAGTTAGGATCAGGTTGGGATGGCGTTTTGGGTTTGAAACGGTCATACGTTTTTTCGAGTTAATCGCGATTCTTAATTTCTATTTTGCAGGCCTGCTGGTAATGGGGTGAACCTTCCAATTTTTTCGCGGATTTTCTTTAACATTAATTAATTAACTATTGCAGATCATAAAATGATTTGCCCTTACACTTCATAGCCTGGGAAACTATGAAGTTTTTTCCAAGTCTTTACATGATGGATCGAGGGGGGTACATCATGTAATTACTTTTTTTTTTATAACTTTAAACTCACCGTTATTGTACTAAAATACACATTTATATTAATTTTATTCTATGCAACGGAAGGTTCTAGGGGGTTTTTAAAGGCGATTTTTGGGTTCATTCGATTATTTCGCGGGGGCTTTTTCGCGGTGCATTGGGCTCAGTTAGAAATAATTTTATAAGTTTATAACTTTATATGTACTTAGTTTATAAGTTAGATTAGGTGGACTAGGGCTGCAGAAGTCGATACTTAGTAGTGTTTACACCATATCCATTTCCATGTGAAATGTTAGATACGTAAATATGAATAAAAGTATCTATTTCTGTGGCGATACCACATTAAAAAAAACGCGCCTGGCAACTTGACCTCATGGGTGGCGTGGAACAAAGTTGCAATTTAGTTATAAGTAAAATTATTAAAATATATCTAATAAATATGTTAAACAATGTAATGTTATGTTTAATATAATAAAACTTCTCAAAATAATCTTCGCTTATTTATTTTAAACCTTTAAAATCTTTCCACAGGTGCACTTGGAAAAAAATATTTCTTAGAAAAAACAATCCTTTTTAATTAATAACTACTTTCATTTGAATGTTTAAAAAACCTATACAAAAATTTGGCAAAGTGTAAATTTTGATAGAATTATTAATGCTAATAATAATAAATTAATAATTAATATTTATCAACATAACATGTTTCTAATTTAATTCTTATTTTATAAATAGTGAAATAAATGAAAATCTACAACCTTGTCATTTTATCTTAATCGGTTTTTCCTTAATTACGTAAAAAAGAATATTTAAACTAGTGGTGTGTATGGCATCGTGCCTTAAGGCAAATTGCTGGAACTTCCAGTATCGTAACGAAATGTTCGAGGAATATTGAATGTTTTCAAATAGATTATTATGAATATTGTAACATTGTCTAATATTTATAAGAATTATATAAGCTGAATTGCAAAGTTGAAAATATTTGTTTAAAGTATATTAGAACTTTAGTCAGAATTACAATTAAAATCAGAATTATTTTCGATATACAAAAAAAATTTGAAAAAAAAAATTAAATATTTTTTTCCAAAAGCAATTATTTTGTTAAAACAAGCAGAAAGTTTTTTGAATCATTTAAATCGGACGCTTAGTTCACTCAAAAACTGCCATTTTTTGCACATTTAGCTCTGTATCTCCGAAACCGCTAGACCTCCCTTTACCAAAATCTAATCACCCCTTCTCCATGTCATTACGAATTGAATGCTCTTTCAAATCTGATCATTCAAATCTGATGCTCCGATCTCTCAAAAACTCGATTTCTATTTTCTGCACTCTTTGCTTCATATCTCCGAAACAGCTGGACCTGCCTTTGCCAAAAAATAATCAGCACATCTCCCTATCAATAGGAATCGAATGTTTTTTGAACCATTCCAATCGGTCGATCCGTGCACCCAAAAACGTGGACGAAAAATTGTATCCATACATACATAAATGTTACAGAAAAAATTGTGAACAAAGGCATAAATTAAAACGTTGCACTATAAACAGTACAGCGAGTCGGGTTTACTATTTGTTGCAAAATGTTACGTTCAAGTGATGCTGCAATTATTATCTCGGACACATTTCCGATACTTTTCTTTTAAAATAATTGTTTTCGCGGAGAAAATATTAAAACTGACAGTTTTGCGCAAAAGTTTTTAGTCGAAGAAATAATGAGATGAGATAGGCGAAAACGTATATATATATATATATATATATATATATATAAATAGTTTGAAGCTATAACTCTGACAATTAGTTTGCAACATTGTAAAAAAATGCTTTTTGAGCCAAATAATATCCAAGAAGTTAAAAAGTTGGCGACGATACAAAAGACTGTGTTGTCATAAATTTAATTTAAAATTGTATATCGACAATAATTTAATTAAGAGACTCAAAAGCACCCCTAATTCTGGATTCATTTAATTATCTATATCTTATTTACTGGTGCGAAAATATAACAATTTTAAATAAGTAAAGTTTAACCCTTTCTACTCGCGAATTGCGAGATTCATATGTATTTTGCCGCCGTAGCGGCAGCATCCGAGTGGACGGGGTTAATATAATGTTTTAGAGTATAAAATGTTGTAGCATTGATGTAAAATTAAATTAGAAGGTTGTGGGACAAACAGTGCTTACTTGATATTAATGCATATTGTGCCATAGTAGTACGATGGTTAAGCGCCGAATTTCATAAAGTTTGTGTGTAAAAAAACCTTAAAATTTTGTATTGTAAATTTCTTTAGGTTTTAATTTTTTTACCCGTTTTTTTTAATAATAATTTTTATAGTATTTTATCATTTCACAATCCTGATTAAATACGCCAACTTTACTACATTTTTTTGAAGAAGGGCCTTTCAAAGTAGACTGATTTAAAATAAAAATTAAATTCAAAGTTCAACAAAAAGTATGAATTCTCAAAAATTTGGGGCAACTTTACCGTGGTCCTAGAAACGTTATTCACGTTTACGGTTCCAAAGTTTAAATGACATTAATTAATGACAATAAACAAAAAGTGGTCAAAGCTCTTGGTTGCACATGCAAGCTCATAATTTACAAACCACGTGGGATTTTTTCTTCTAATTTTTTTCAGGACAGCTGAGATCACCCGTTTCTGCTTGACGTTATGTTCTGGGACACCCTGTATATATATTCAAGAAAAATCCATTACCGTATAGTTTACCATTAGACAGGTTGTATACATAAATATATAAAAATAAAGATATTGAATAACATAGAAAGATGGTGATATCAAATAATGCACTTTTTATGTAAAACACCATGATATCAAATACGTATATATTATAAATATATAGATATATTCATATATTTATATGTAAGGGATAAGTTTGCTCTCTTATATTACTACTTGCTTGACATGATAGCTGGCTAATGTACTTGTTTGTAAAGCCAATAAACCTTTAAAAAAACAAGGTAGTAAGGACAAAAAATGCCCGTGAATAAATTACATACTTTTATATTTCACACATTAATATTGATATAATATTATTTTCTATATTATTAGCAAATTTACAACATTATACGCATATATGCAAGTTTATTGATACGAGTCAAGTGCAGAGCTTCACGAAAGCCCCAATAATTGAAAACGTTGCTAATATATGTTGGTATAATAGACATATTGAAGTCTGGACATATCCAAATTTCGGGTTATAGTATACACTTCTTGAAACTAGTTGATAGTGGCATTTAGCCTTAAAGCAAGTTGCATGAACTTCTCGACATGTGTAATAATTGACAGAAACAGAAATTAAAATTTAGAAATTTAGATAAAATGTTCAACTGTTAACTTCAGGAATAAAGTTTTCGCTATCAATTAAATCTGAAGTATGTCCTAAAATTGTAGCTTATTATTTTAAATTTTACTGAATTATGTTAAGCAACTTTGGACACAAATTTTGACTATAATATTTTCTCAAACTTTGACGATTTTTTTAAATTAAACCACTTGTCGTAGGTCCGTAATATTATAGAAGGATCTATGAGACTATGGTATCTACCGTCAAAAATCGTCAAAAATTTTGTTTTAATACTTTATTACGGCCCGGTCGATCTTGACCTTGAAGACTAATCAAGTCGATTTCCAACCAATATCTTTCAAGCGGTTTTTGAATTTTCAAAATCTATTCAGAATTGCGGACTAAAACTCAAAATTTTTCACTTTTCTGCTATTTATAAAGAAATGGCTTGGCTAATCGTCGCGCAAAATTGATAAACACTAGTCCTCATCGAGATACATCGAATGGCTTTTAAATTTTTGAAATCAGTTCAGCCATTTTTGAGAAAACGTCGATTAACGGCAAAAAATCTGTTCACACACACATACTTTTTCCAAATTTAGTCTCATTCGATTCAGAATGGCTTGAAACGTCGAGAAAACATAAAATTAGCGAATCGGATTTATTTAGGAAAACAAACTTCTCCTTCGGGATGTTAATTATAGATTTCCATAGCCATATATTGGTAAATTAAACCATATATTATTCTAAAAGCTTATCATGTCACTCACATTCTTTATGACACTATCTTGCAATTTGAATAATTAATTTTAATACTGCTACGTATTTAGTTAGACTCTAGTACTTAAATTTGTGGTCTACCTTGCAAAATTTTAAGTTATATTGATTTTTATCAAATTATTTTATTAAGTCAATTTTAATATTGAAATATACCGAGCTTCTATGTGGCTATAGGGCTACTACACTCCTACAGTATATTCTAGATAATTTAATTTAGGACAAATTCGTTCAATAATCCATTTATATTAAACGATCAGTTTGAAATATAAAGATAAATAGTACAGTGGGTTGACATTTGGTTATTGAAATCCAAACCGTCATTTGTTGTCTATGTATGAGACACTATATATGTATATTTACATATATGAATATATATATATATATATATATATATATATATATATATTTACATATATATATGTATATATATACATATATATATATATATATATATATATATATATTAGGGTGGTCCTTAAAATGGTCATTTTCGAATTTCCTTGCTCCCAGGGGCTCAAATGGTTCCAAATAGATAAAAAACAATTCTCTGAAAGTTTTAGCTCTTAATATTAACGTTTAGA